GTCCCCCAGGGAGGAGGTTACATGTAGACCTTGTCCTCTGTTCCCCCTTTCTTCCTTTCCTTCCCTCCACCCTCCCGCCATCGCCACTCTCTCCACTGGTCCTGGGGGGTTCATCTGTCCTGGGTTCACTGTATTTCCAGTTCCTATCTGTGCCAGTGCATCTCTTCCGGTCCAGCAGATATGTAAGGTAGAATTGGGATCATGGTAGTGGAGGGGAGGAAGCATTTAAGAACTAGAGGAAAATTGCACATTTCATCGTTACTACACTGCACTCCGATTTACTCCTCACCTCCCTGCAGCCCTTCTGCAAGGGGATGTCCAATTTCCCCCGGATGGGCCCTGGGTCCCCACTCTGCACTCCCCCTCATTCACAATGTTATGATTTTTTTTAAGGTGGCCACTTTCTTCTTAGGTCGCTTTAGAGTGAAACGAGGAATTAAGATAACAGTTCTTTTATATTTTATATTAAGTTCCACCTGGCATTTGCATTTTTGTTTCATGAAATTTTTCAATCTTTTAAATGTTGGTAATATTTTACTTTGTGATTTCTATTTATATCTCGCCTAGACTTATGTCCATCATGAGCATTTGGAGACTGTGTTGCCACAGTAGGGTTTGTTATTTTAGTTTCGGCTTCTTTTCTCCCAGGGGTGGATCTTTTAGTGCAATTGAAAAGTCTCACTGGCATCAAGTTGATTGTAACTCATTGTAGGAAGCTTCATTTTCTTCTGGCGGTATTGAACTGCTTAACTTGCGGTTAGCTGCTATGACAACCGGGGCTCTTAACAGTGCTGTGTCAAATCAAATCTGCCAGCAAGTAAATTCTAACTCATAACAGCCCTATAGGATAGAGTAGCCTGGGAGTTCTGAGGCTATAAATCTTTATGGGAGTAGAAAGCCTCATTTTCTCATGTTGGGTGGCTGGTGGGTCAGAACTCGTGGTTTTGTGGTTAGCAGCCCAACATATAACCCACTGTGCCTTCAGGACTCTTGCCAACAATCAAACTCCCTGCCATCAAGTCAGTTCTGATTCATAGTGACTCCATAATAGGTACTCTATAGAATTGCCCCGTGAGTTTCTGAGATGGTAAATCTTTACCGGAGTAGAATGCCTCATTTTGATTTTATGTTATTGCTATTTTGCCAGCTATGATTATGAAAACATCGTAAATGCTGCATTTCATGCAGTCTTGTAAGCCTTAGCTGGGTCCCTAAGTGATGACAATAGTCAGCATTTGGCTGGTGACCAGAGGTGCCTTGGAAGAAAGGCCCTGGCGATGCCCATGGGGAAAAGCAGGCACCGAAACCCTGTGGAGTGTAGCTTTGTTCCGGCCCCCAGGGGTCACTAAATGTGAGTCAGCCCAGTTGAAACCCCTTATAGTAACCATTTGACCTAAAATTCCCAGATCCTGACTAGTTGTAAATATTCCTCATAGCTTCAAGAACTTAGATAAGGACTAAAGATTTATTTACTTTATTACAGTGTCTGAAGTTCGCTTGAATTTGGAGAAGATGATGGAGCAGAAAAGTACTGCGGTAAAAGCTTTGACGGGTGGCATTGCCCACTTGTTCAAACAGAATAAGGTCAGTGTGTTTAATGCTCAGATTTCTGCTTAATTTCATACACACGTTAAACATTGTGCTATGCTAAAATAATGATGGTGCTTGGGCCTGGCTACTGGGCAGTGTCTTCTTTTTAAAAAATTGTAACAATGCGCTAACCTAAAATAGTTATCTGACAAATACAGTTCTTTGTTTTTAGGCAAGGGACAATGGGGGGTAGACCAAGGGGGCTGCTCAGTGTATATAGCATTAGTGAAGAAGGAAGCATTTTATATTTGGTCAATTTATTTAGCACATTTCCTAGTAGGTGCATTTATTAAAAGATGTTTTAAACTCGGTGGTTTTGTAAACACTTTTATGAAGGTGGTTCATGTAAATGGCTATGGGAAGATCACGGGCAAAAACCAGGTCACTGCTTCTAAGGCTGATGGGAGCACTCAGGTCATCAAGACGAAGAATATCCTCATCGCCACTGGCTCAGAAGTTACGCCCTTCCCTGGAATCACGGTATTTATGCTTGGCAGTTTTACAGCTGCTATAACTTTCCCTTAGAAATCCCACTTGCATAAGTTACTTGTTTACACAATATTTGTGGAGTTGGAATGAGCAGCTGTTGACTGAAAGCCTGTGTTTCGACAGCTCAGCTTTGGGAAGCTGTGGTGTATATTCTGCAGTGATGTGGATCAATGGGGAATCTTTTCTGCTTAGGTATACTTAAATATGAAGTTAAGGTTGGCCACTTTGTTTTGAAACACTAATAAAAATTTAAAGTAGCATTTTAATGGGACATGACAAAGGTCAATGAGGCAGATATTTCAAAACAAATGACAGTGTTTCTTAGTCATACTGCAGCGTGAGGTAGGTCACAGTTTGTAAATCATTGAGTTTTTCTGATTGATTTTGTTTTTCTTAAAGATTGATGAAGATACAGTGGTGTCATCTACAGGTGCTTTGTCTCTAAAACAAGTTCCAGAGAAGATGGTTGTCATCGGGGCCGGAGTGATAGGGGTAGAGTTGGTAAGTGTCTGTTGTTCTGCCGTGGAGTTGGAGAGCTTCAAAGGTCCCGCTTTAATTTTTTGTGTAATATTTGAGGCAACTCACATTCCATTTTGAGTGAACGCATCTAGTAATAGGGAGCTCACGTTCCTCCCCACCCCCCCAAGAAAACCCTTTATATGCTTAGTGACTAGAGTGTTCTTTATTTGAAAAACGAAAACAAGAATTATTCTTTGCTGTGTTATCCACTCTTTCAGTTCCCTAGAATTGGTTAATTGATCTCAATCTGCCAGCCTTTCGGATATTTGAAGGCAGCTCTTATGCTGAGCATGTTGCATTTCAGATAAAGACTATACTGCTTACCATGACGTCCATGATCTATTTCTTGACTTCTTCTCCGTCCTCAGTCCTCCTTGACTTAGGCGTTAAGAATTCATTCCTGAGTACTCCCTGAAACCCCACACTCCCTTCCTGCAGTGTTTGTCCCCGTGGCAGGTTTCCTCGTGTATCTGATGACTTCCGCTTCTCCTTCCGTTCTAGGTGTCTTTCCCCAGGGCCGCTGTGCCCTAAATTGTTCTGCATCTGACACGACCAATTCAGGCATTCTGCTTTCTAACCGTGGCTGCCTTTCTCGTGCACAATGACTCCTTGTACACGGGCTCCTGAGCTCACCGGGTATTGTGTCCATAGCTCCCCCTGGGGGCGTTTCTCCACCTTCCCTTGGCTCTCTTTGCACTACATTCCTGCTCAGCCAGATCCCTCCGTGTCACTCTAACCTCTCTGTGTCCTTGAGTCCTTTGCTCATTCACTCACTCACTTGACAAAGCTCCAGGTGAATTCAACTGGCACCATTTTACTTTTTTAATTTAAAATAGTTTTTATTATTGACATAATTCACATACCACATATTTTAGTGGTTTGGATATATTCAAAAGACTTCTTTTTTTTTACTTATTTTTAAAATCATTTTATTGAGGGCTCATACAGTTCTTCTCACAATCCATACATCCATCCATTATGTCAAACACCTTTGTACAATGGTTGCC